GCTTACAGGATTTCTTTATATCTCTTGTGTTTGGAGGATCACATCTTTGGTGAGATTGGGAAAGTTTTATTGGATAACCTCCTGAAATACTTGCTCCAATGTGTTCTCTGTTTCCCTTTCTTCTTCTGAGATACCAGTCAGGAATAGGTTCAGCCTCTTAATATAATCACACATCTCTTGGAGTCTTTGTTCTTTCATTCTGAGTTTACTTTCTATGATTTTTACAGATCAGGTTAATTCCATGTTTTGGTCTTCAAGCTGTAAGATACTTTCTTCTGCTTGATTATTTCTGCTTTCCGTGTTTGTCATCATTTTATCTATTTTCTGGGTGAAGTTTTGTGGCCAAAATCCCTACTGATCTACCAAGGAAGATCAATAAGAATAGTAGCAGTTATTTCAGTGTTGCATCTTTTCTTTCTTGAGTCTTTTTCACACTTTCCATCCATTCCTTTTTCCCTGTATTATTCCTTGATCTGTCATTGGTAACTTCCATTGTTTGGGCTCTGAGGTCTGATTTTTCAGGCATTGTCTCATTGGTACACTGGGAATCACCTGTGTCCTTCCATTGGTTTATCATCATTTGTGACAGATCTCTTTTTTTCTTTAATTCCATTATTCATTGGCAGTTGGAGGGCCTTTGACTTCTAATATTTGTTATACCCTCTATTCTTCCCTGATCGGGGTTCTGAATTTGCTCTGTTTTGAAACACAGTTGGGGATAGGAAGCATTGATGTCTCTTGAAGTTTTGAGGGTCAAATAAAGTGAAGAATGGGGAGCTAGAATTCAGAAACTACTTTCAAATGATAATGTTCACTGACTGTATTATGTGCTCCTTGAGACCCACTTCTCATTCCACTATATATGTTAATGTAGTGGGTACATGTCTGTACCCCATGCGTCCAAGATATAACAGCAATGAGGAGAACAGAGAAAAGTAGAATGAAATAGGAAGGACAAGAATTATTTAAAACAAAAAACCTCAAAAAATAAATGCATAAATGAAAGCATAAAACAATTGCACACACACACACACACACACACACACACACACACAAAACCCCTAAACAAAAAGGAAAACAAAGAACCTCCAAAAACAGGAAAACCAAACACAGAGACAGACACACACGAATGCCCAACAAAAATGAAAGGAAAAGAAGCAAAAAGGGGGAAATGCCAATTGAACCCTCACATATATATTCACACACACATTCAACCAAAAAAAGAAAATTAAAAAAAAAACGCTGAAAGATAAACACTCAATCATTCACATATACACATAAACAGAAAACAAAAAAGTGCAAGAAGAAAGAAAAAAGATGAAAGAAAAAGAGAAAAAGAGGGAGGGGATTCAAATCAAACCCTCACATACACATTCATGCACAAAGAAATAAGAAAGGTTTTTTTTAAAAAAATGATGGGCAATAACCGCCCTCTTGTGGTAGGTTCTGTAATGGTTCTTCTCAGCTGCCCACAGATAAGCCCCTCTGCTACCTCCTGCAGAGCTGTGCTTCTTTCACAATCTCCCCAGTAACTGGTCCATGGAAAGAGAAGGAGGCGGTAGGGATGGTTGGGATTTCAGTCTTTCCCTCCCACTCTAGTATTTTCAGGGTATCCCCTCCAGTGGGGAGGTGTAGGATTTTCTCTTTCCCAAGAGCTGGTGGTGAGCACCCCAGCCAGTCTTATCCTGGAGTCGAGTACTCCTATCATAGCTGATGTCCAGACTTCACCCGGGTTCATCTCTCTCAGTCATACCCCAGCAGTGTGCGTCTGATTCTCAGAGAATTGCTGGGGAGAAGAGTGTTGGGACTGCCCTGGACTCACAGCTGATCTCTTCAGGGGTCTTCCTCATGCTTTTCTAGTCTCACTCTTTGTCCCAAGGCTGAATCTGGGTAGGGGGTGGGGCACCTGAAATTCACCATTCATCCTGTCCCTCTGAAGTTTGTGTTTTCAGGATATTCCCTCTGGGTCATGACCACTCAGTTAAACAGCTGGTCACAGAGATATGGTGTGGTGCTCCATGGTGAGCAAACTGGAGCACTTCCCTGCCCCGTTTACAAAATCATGACTGGATGCCTGTTTCATCTTCTCCAGTGGAGCTCTGCCTCTGACTCTTTCACTGTGCTCTCTCCTCAGCCCTTGCTACCAGTGTCTGGCCAGGTGCTGTGGTGTGAAGCAGAGCCTGGAGCTGGCAGTCACTTCGGGCAGTTTCTTCCAGTGAAGTTTTGCCAATTTTTAAAAATGATCCTTGGCTTCTGCACTATGGGAGGTGCCAGGGACCAAGCAGAGCAGCTGCAGTACTAGCTGCTTCACCAAAAAAGCCTTAGCCACTTGCTCCAGAGTTCCCACTCAGTCAGCCACTCACACACCCACTTACTAACAGACATGTATGCAAAATTGTCCATATACTCACTCACTCAAACAGGGACGCTCATAGTCTAGCAGGCTGCATCACCATCTTCCCATACTCTTTGGTTTGATTTGATAATTTCCGGTTATCCTGAGTTTTTTTTCAGTTATTTCAATTGTGTTTCTATTTACTAATTAAAGGGATTTTGTAATTGTCACTTTAAAAATCTCTGTCTTATAGTTTCAACATCTGGATTATTTCAGTGTGTATGTGTGGTGATTTGTTTCTCTCACTTAAGTTGTGTTTTTCCTGGTCCTTGAGCACAGCGATTTTTATATTGAGTGCTAGACACTTTGATATTATATTTTTAAACACTAAGAATCATTTAATATTTCTTCTATCATGTGGCCCTCCTGTTGAGTTGTAGCTGAAGGACACAGGGGTTTCTATTCAGCTTTTCATTGGTCAAAGGGGAAATGGAGGACTGACTCTCACTACCTTAGTGCTGCTGACACTTTCATGAAAAAATAAGGGCCATGATTTTCACAGATGTGTCCACTTCAGGGTGGAGGTAGAAAATTAGCATCCACTGGAGTATATTGTGCTGCATTGACACCAGAAAGTGGAGGGGGGACAATCTGATTGCCAATGACTCCCTTCTCCCATCCGGTATTCTCATTCAGAGCTGGGAATCAAAGTTCAGATCCTCATTCGTCCTCATGGTCACCAGCATCAGGTGTTGGGAAGGGGATATTAAAAGCTCACTAGCTCTGCCTTGTACAATCTTATTTAGCTCAACAATTGTGATAGGGTTGAAATACACTCTTCAATGGGCCCTAAACAAATCATGGGAGAAGGGGATGGGGAATGAACTAGTTCACACTAATGGTAACTTGCTCAGACTTGTTGATGCTGTTCAGCAGTGAAGGTTCATCTTGTTGAATCCCACAGACACTATCCCAGATTGGAAATAAGAGCATAGCCAGGATTTGTTGACAATGAGAGATACTGAGTCACCACAGCATGGAAGTTGTTAGTACCAAAACAATGCACATGCCCAGAATTGCTGCTGCTTCTAGTCAGGGAGAAGGTAGCTGTCTGCCCCCACAGACTTGGGCACTGCAGATGGGTGAGTCAGCGAAGACTTGGTCCAGGGTCATAAATTTCAAGATAGTAACAGCGTAAGAGAGATTTGTATGAGGACAGGAACACATTCACAGTCCCTAGTATTTTATCCCCACCTGCAGCCATCTGTGGAGCAAACAAAAAGTAGGAGAAGGAGAGGAGTCCAGGTCATGGTGGAGACTCTCACACAGCTCTTCATCCTAGGAACATCAGCTAGGCCTGGGCTCTCCATGTTTATCATATCCCCTCCAGCAACCTGATGTGAGAAAGGGACACTTCAGGCAAAGCTGCTTCCTCCCTGGGCTGTCAAGATCTACCCTGGGCCCTGAATCTGAGCCTTTCCTGGAAAACTGTTCATGGAAGAGCGTGGAATTGAGCAGGGGGATTCTGTGATGCCCCAGGGACCTGTGGGAACATAGTTTCTGGTTCCAAGGAGCAGGGGGCAGAGGACTCCAGCTCAAGGCTAGGTGAGGTCTGCCAGCTGGGACCCACAGCACATGCATCAGACACACTCATGTGTCCTGTCTCTTCTTCCTCCCCCTGCTGCCATTCTATGCGCCCAGACACACTCATGTATCCTGTCTTCGTCATTGTTCACTTTGCCCTCTCCTTAATGGATCTGGGCAGTGTTCATGCCCCAAGGCACCTTAGTTTTAGATCCCCACCCAGTCTTCTTCTAATGCACTCACATGCACAGTTCAGTGTGTCATTTACAGGGAAGCCTTAGGAGCTTGGCCTCCATGACGAGTCTTCTTTAGGCGGCTGAAAAACAGGAAGCCCTGTGGGGACAGGTAGCTCCTCTATCCAGGGCATCAGGAACTGTTTTCTATTGCTTCTCTGTGGAAACACCATAGCCTGGGCCCCAGGCTTCCAGGACCTTCCCTTGGGCTTGATCTCTCCCTATGTCTCCTCCTTCCTCTGAGATCCTCCTTCCCCTGAGATCCTCATTAACATATTTTTCTTCTCTCTCACTGCAGTTAGAGAGAAGAAAATTATAAATAAAACTTGACAATCCCAGGCATAAATTCTAGGAAAACTTAGATGTTAAGTGCTATCTTGAGAGTAGAAGACAGGCGAACCCTAAGTAAACACCTAGCTCCTAATTATTCTCCATCCCCACTTGTGTACTGAGAGACTGTTAGCACCTTTCAAAAGGTGGGTTCTGTGCACTCTAATTCTGCCCTGGCTACATGAGAATACATGCTCCTACAGTTTCAGACACGGTTCTTACAGAGTTTGGTGGTGAACTCTAAGACTTTCTCACTTTTTGTAAGAGAAAAACCCCAGTTCCAATGGCTCTGGCTTTAACACATATAGAAAATGAGACAACATTTGTATCATTATGAGGTTTTGAGCTTTACTGTTAGTTTTCCTGAGATTTCAGTAATGTTAAATTTTAAAAAAACATTAAGAGGAATTTTTAAAAAACAGAAGGTGCTTTCAAGAATGCAGATGAAACATATTTTAAGATTTGATAATTGTCACAGAACAAGTCCCTGAGCAGGCTGAGGTTTCTGTCCCACTTCCTCATCTGCTTGTGTCACTGTGACGGCTACTACCATCCCAGGTCTGACAGTAATAATCAGCCTCATCCTCAGACTGGACGTTGGAGATGGTCAAGTAGCGGTCAGCCCCTGAGCTGGAGCCTGAGAAGCGATTGGGGATACCATCTCCCTTGTTATGGCTTCCATCACTGTAAACTTCCATCAGGTACTGAGGGGCCTTCCCTGGCTGCTGCTGTTGCCATGCAATAGCATAGCTGCTATACCCACTGCTCAGAGTGCAGGTGAGCTTTGTTGAGGCTCCCAGAGAGGCAGATGCAGAGGGCGGCTGAGTCAGCACAGGCTGGGAGAGACACCCTGGAAAAACAGACACCCATTAAGTCCTGGAGGAAGGAAAGAGGGAAGAATATTTCTGACATAAATTTGGAAGGTAGATTCAGGGAGTTGAGAAATCAGAATGCTAAAGATCATCCTGACCTGTGCAGTGACGAAGGAGGCTGAGGAGGAGGTGGGGTTTCCAGGCCATGGTGCAGACAGCTCAGACCTCTGCTGTGACAGACACATTGCCGGTCCCTTTTATCCACTCTATAGACTCATAGGAAAGAAAGTAACCCTTCATGCAAATATACTCTTTTCCTGCCCAACCAAATCCTCCTTGGGCCTGTGTGCAGGCCTAATGGCTGGGTGTTATTTCTGGGAGGGGTGGGCCTGGGCTTGGCCTGACCTGAGTTTCCCCAGGGGCCCAGAGAGGACCCAGCTGCTAGTTCCAGTGATCTGTGAGCAAAGAGTGTGTCAGCTGTCTTGTTTCCCAGCTTAGAACCCCACTAAACCCAGGACCACAGTGCCTCCAGCTGCTCAGGACCAGATTCATCATGTCTTTGACTGGGCGATATGTGATCTCGACCATTCTTGCCTCCACCAAGGTCTTAAGCACTGTCTAATCCCTGTATCAGGGCATAGTGAGGCCCCACCTCAGGAAGCCTCCTACTTGGTCTCAGTATTTAGGCCTACTCAGTGGGTATAGGACATACAAAAGATTGTGTTTTACACAGAGTTCTCTGGGGATGAGTGTCTCATCTCTGAGCTACACATGGAGTAAAAAATTAGCTGAGAATAGGTACATTTCAGCCAGGAATCCACTTGCCATCAGCTCATGAAGGCAAGTTACTCTCTACCTACAGATTTACCATGAGATCAGCACATAGGGAACAGAGGGTGAGTGTTTGGTGGATAAGTGGACTTATTTGGTGATTAAATGAATTCACATGAAATTGAGGATAAACTGAGAAAGTAGAAGGATAGGTACAAAAGGGTTAGAAAAAAAATCAGCAGACTTGGGGTTTCTTATGAAGGAAGAGAGATTAGAGAAGTTCAAGAAAATAGAGGTGATGCAAATGACAACTTTCAAGGAAAGATCCAGGAAAACATTCCTGGATTTTGTGAAATAAATATCTTGATGATAAGCACAGAAGGTCACAGGGGAGAAGGGAAATAGAACGAAAGAGCTGATTCATGAATCAGAGATTAGGAAGAGGAAAGGATGGGAATTACCTGCACTTTAGAAAAGACTGGTGGAGAAGCCAATGGGGAGCTTAGGCAGGAGCCAGAGGTCACAGAGGTTCGAGGTGAGGTTAGGGATGTGTTCACTTTCATTTCTTTTTTAATTTCAAAGCAACATCGTTCCACGTTTTTGCTATTGTGAATATGGCAACAATAAACATGCATATGCAGGTGTCATTTTTGTAGAGTGATTTGTGTTCCTTCAGCTATATTCCCAGGAGAGTGATTGCTGGATCATATGAATAATCAATTTTTAGAAATTGCCAGATTGCTTTTAATAGAGGTTGAATTAGCATTTTTTTATGAACTGTGTAGAAGCATTCAATTTTCTCCACAGCCACACAAGCCCTTGTTGTATTTTTATTAATAACAGCCATCCTCATTGGAGTTAGGTGGTATGTCATTGTAGTTTTGAGTTGCATGTCTCTGATGATTAGTGAAGATAAGTTTTTCACATATTTGTTTCCTGCATGTTTACCATCATTTTAGAAGTGTCTGTTCATGTCCTTTGCCCACTTTTTAATGGTGTTGTTATTTTCCTTTCAGTTTACTTAATTTCCTTGTAATTCCTGGAAGTTAGGCTTTTGTCAGATGCATAATTTGCAAATATTTTTTCCATTTGTGGGTTGTCTCATTACTCTCTTGATGGACTCTTTTGCTGTGAAAAAGTTTTTCAGTTTTTTGAGGTTCCACCTGTATATCTTAACTTTTGTAGTATTTTCTTCTGGGAACATGGTTATGAATTCATTGCCTACTCTGATGTCCAGAATGATGTTTCCTACATTTTCTTCTAGGATTCTTATAGTTTGATGTTTTACATTTAATGCATGGTATTACCTCAACCTTTTAAAATTTGTTCATGCTTGATTCATGTCTAACAATGTGATTGATTTTGTAGTATGTTGCTTGTGCTGTTTAGTAGAATGCATACTATGCAATTGTTGGGTGGAGTGTTCTGTAGGTGTCTATTAACTCCATTTGGTTGAATGTCAAGTTAAGGTTCTTGATCTTCTTGTTGAATTTTTGCCTCAGTGATCTGTCTAGGTCTGTTTGCAGGGTATTGAAGATTCCAGTCATTATTGTGTGAGTGTCCATATCCTCTCTTAGTTTACTTAATAGTTGTTTTATAAAGTCCAATGCTCCTGTGTTGGATGCATGAATGTTCAACATGGATGTTTCTTGCTGATTGAGCCTTTTATTATTATGTAGTTTCCTTCTGTGTCCTTTTTAAAATTTGATGGTTTGGAATCTGCTTTGTCTGATATGACAATAGTTACCCCTGCTTTTTTCTACTTTCCACTTACCTGAAAGGTCATTTTCTAGCCTTTTACTTTGAGCCTGTAGGTGTCCTCCGCAGTGAGATGAGTTTCCTGGAGTCAGCAGGATGTTAGATCATGTTTCTTTATCCAGTTTTCTACTCCATGTCACTTCAGTGACACATTCAGTCTATTCACATTCAAATTGTTTATTGAAATGTTAGAGTTTATATTGTCATAGAGATTTTATGGTGGTGCTTTGCTTCATATATGTAAATGTGTGTGTGTGTGTGTGTGTGTGTGTGTGTGTATGTGTATGTGTATTTTCATTTGTATGAATGATCTTTATGCTCTGTTAATTCTGTGTTCTGTGTTTGCCTGTCCTTTTGTGATGGATGTGACTGTTCTTTTGTTTCTATATTCAATGCCTTCTTAAGAATCTCCTGAAAGCTGAATTGCTGGTTTAGACACAGTATATTCTCATATGGATTAGAAGTCTGGCAAAGGTTTTATTTCTCCATCATTGACAAATCTTAGCTTGGTGAAGTAGAACATTCTTGGCTGGAATTGTTTATCATTGAGAATATTAAAAATGGGACTCCAGGTCCTTCTGGATTGTCGTGTTTTTGCTGAGATGTCTGGAGCAATTCTGACGGGTCTTCCCTTGTAGGTGGTCTGACACTCTCATACTGCCTTTAAATTTCTTTCTTGCTTGCTTACTTTGTGGAAGCAGATCACTATGTATCTGGGGGAGTATCTTCTCATGTGATACTTTGTGGGAATTCTTTGAAACTCTTTCACTTAAATGGTCACCTCTCTAGTGAATTTTTGAAGTTTTCTTGGATGACCCCATGGAACATGGTATGTTTGTTCTATGGTGTTGTCAATTTCCTTTCTACTTCAGGGATACCAGTCAAGTGTAGATTTGGCTTCTTAATATAGTCTCATGGCTTTGGGACAATTTGGTCATTCTTTTTTAATCTTTCTTTCTAATGTTTTTGACAGACTTAGTTTGTTTCATATTTTGGTCTCCAAGAAATGAGATTCTTTCCTCTGGCTGATTGATCATGCTTTCTGTGCTTGTTATTGTGTTTCTGAATTCCAGGAAGAAGTACTTCATTTTCAGTATTTTTAAATGGACCTTTCTGATATTGGCCAGCTGTTTTTACTTCCTGCACAGCTTTGGTGTGTTTTACTCCCTTTTTCTTTTGACTCTCTTTATTTACTTTCATTATCTGACCTCTGATCTGTGTCTGTCTTCAGGGTCAGTTTGTTCTAGGAGCCTTCCATTGTTTGTCCACTGATGGCTGCTTTATCAGGCATTGTCTATTTAAGACTCTGAGGATTTACAGTGTTTTTTCATGGACTCTTTCTTGTCTCGAAAAACAACTCTTCCTTCTTCATTTTTCTTTTTCAGTTTCATGTTGAAGGTAGTTAATATCTTGCTCTTCTAGAGCCTTTTCTGTTGCTTAAAATAGATCACTAATGGAAAGGGAAATGGGTATTCATTTTTGTTCCATGATCCTTCCTGAGGAAGGCTTTCTGCTGCAGAGTTTTCCCCATAATTAGACCAGTTGGGCTGCCCTTCAATACCTTTGCAAGTACTCTGTGGGGATCAGACTAGAGGATGGGTCCTCTGTCAGCTGTTCGTGGTTTTCTAGAATTCTTGCTAGGAAACACTTTGACTGTCTTTTGTGTTCCCTGTTCAAGGACACACTCAGCACTTGAAAGACAGCAAGCTCCCTCCTATGGAGATGTCTGCCCTGTGGGTGTGCAGGAATGGCAGGAGATCCTTCATGATCTGATAAGGGTTGGCAACCAGAAGCTGGCAGCAGGTACCAGGTGAGTGCAATCTTCAGGCAAGATTTCCTAGTCTGGGTGCTGGACACCAAGTTCCACTGGCAGTTGTGTGGCCTGAGACTAAAGTGGACCATGAATAATACCTATATCCACTCTTTGGGTGGAAAGGAGTAGACACTGCAAGATACAGGAAACATGGGCATGTCTGAAGCTGGGCAACAGGGTGTGCTGTGGCCTGTCCCTCAGGGCTATTTTATAAATCCCAACTTGATGCCTGCACCTGGCTCTGAGTTGGAGCCCTCTGTTCCCTGCTCAGTGGGACCAGCAGTTGTTTCCTCACATGCCTCTGGGAGGCACAGAACAACCTACCAAGTCCACCTACTTCCAGAGTCATCTTTGCATGTGGGGGTCAGAGGCAGGGCCTAGAGTGGTATTTAGGTAGCAAAGGTCAAGAATCTAATTTTTCTGAAGAGTCCATCCCTCACCTTGGGCTGCTGGAGTCCTTAAGGGGCACTTGGGGAGCCCAAGCCCCACTGAGAGGCCTCTGGAACCAGAGCTATGAGGGGCCCTTCTCCACGGCCTTGGCTCTCTTCCTGCTCCCTTTCCTTGTTCACCACACAGGTGACTCAGTCATAGTGTCCAGGCTGATCTGTATGCTCCCCATTGCAACAAAGGAATTTCTGGGGTGGAAAGTAGTGATTATGGCATAGACTGGGTGGCTCTGCATGTGTAGGGGCAGGAGAGGGCTCTTTGCCTTCCACTCAGTTTTTCTGTGAACCTAAAACTTCTCTGAAAACTAAAATCTGTTTTTGAAGGTGACAATATTAATAGATGCAGGAATAAAGTAAGATGCATTTCAATATCCTGTACACTTTACATTTACCAAGGAGAAAGGGAAATGCTATAACCTTAT